TCTGCCTGATGATCTCAACTCTTTTTATACTCGGTTCGAGTCTGATAATCACGTCCAGCTCCAGGAAATAAAATCTAAATTAAACCCTGGGAACCCTGCATTCAGATTTAAATTTACCATGCAGCAGGTTGTGAAAGCTCTTAAGCAGACTAAGGAGAAAAGTGCACCTGGCCCAGACCACATCAGCAGCAGAGTTCTCAGAAACTGTGCACAACAACTAGGGGGGGGGGGGGGGGGGGGGGGGGGGGTTTCAGACCTTGGAGCTCCATGGATACAAGCGCAGTTCCCCAGCTCTGGAAGCACTCTACGGTCATACCCATCCCCAAGACCAGCAGGGTTAAGGCTCTCAATGATCTTCGACCTGTGGCTTTGACCTCTTTACCGATGAAGGCTATGGAGAGGATCTTGAAACATCACATTATCAGAGCCTTACACCCTCAGTTAGATCCACTTCAGTTTGCGTATCGGAAAGGGAGAAGTGTTGATGATGCAAAAACATTCCTCTTAGACATGGTTCACCGACATCTGGAGATCCCAAACTCTTCAGCTAGACTGCTGTTTGTTGACTTCTCTTCAGCGTTTAACACCCTGCAACCTCACATCCTGGCTGGCAAACTCTCTTCTCTTTTTCACCTGGATGATCAGATAATCCTATGGATCCTGGATTTCTTAACTAACAGATCACAAAGAGTTCTGGTTAACAACACTCTCTCGGACCTTCTTTACACCTCTACTGGCACCCCACAAGGCTGCGTGTTGTCCCCTCTACTCTTCATTCTCTACACAGATGACTGTAGATCCATCCAGCCTGACAGTTACATGGTAAAATATGCTGATGACACTGTGCTCCTGTCTCTTCTGTCAGGCCCTACTGTTTACCACGGGCAGGTCCTGCAGAAGTTTGTGGATCGGTGTGACACTGCATGCCTGGAGCTGAATGTGACCAAAACCAAGGAGATGGTGGTGTCCTTCTCAAACAAACAGAGAGCGCTGGTTACCGCTGCCTCCACTATCATTCATGGACAGCCAGTGGAGCTGGTTGAAGAGTATAAATATCTAGGGACCACCATTGATCACCTCCTGAAATTTGCTTCCAACACCGAGGACATCCTCAGAAAGTGCCAGCAACGACTTTACCTCCTGAGGAAGTTGAATTCATTTGGAGTCAGGAAGGACATTTTACTGACTTTCTATTATTCTTTTATAGAGAGTGTTATCACATTTTCCATCCCCTGTTGGTTTTATTCTGTCAGCCTGCAGTATAGAAACCGTCTACAAAGCACCGTCAAGGTGTGCTCTCGGATCATTGGACTACCACTGCGAAACTGAACTTCTCAATGAGACCAGCATACAGGAAGTTTAGCACAGAAAATCATTAAAGACCCATCACACCCTCTTCATACTGTTTTCGAGTGGCTGCCCTCCAAACGCCGACTTCGATGCCCGTGCTGTAAAACACAGAGGAGGAGAAGTTCCTTTGTTCCCAGAGCTGTGCTTCTTCTTAATTCTCAGCGCAGATAGGGGGCGTGTGCATTACTTGTATGTGTGTGTGTGCATGTAGTTACATGTGTGTGTGTGTGTGTGTGTGTGTGCGTGTGTGTGTGTGAGCCAAAGTTTTAATCATTGTTGGTCATTCACATGTGAGTTTATGACATGATTGTGTATATAGGTTTTTATAGGTTTTACAAATGTGTAATTTGGATGTGTTTTTAGAATTTAGAGATTTTAGTGCCGGCTGCTTCACAATGCTGTCTCGAGTTGCCCCTCGGGGACTAATAAAGTTGTCTTGAGTCTTGAGTCAAAAAGTCTAATATAAAAACAAACAGCACCTGAACTTAAAAGACCTGGCAGGGTCTATTTAGCCCTGGCCCCCTAAACGCCTTGATACGGCCCTGGGCATGGGACTGAGCTTCGAGGTTGATCTGAATGTATCAGGTGAATGAATAGTGGCCTACATGCTGGTAAATGATTGCCTTATGCAGGTAAAATCGAGTAGTGGGATAAATCTACCTACATTTTATTGTTCAAACTTTGATTTGTTTTCTGGGTTTTTATGTTCCTGTCGTGTCCGTCTCTGGTCGTCCTGCATCTTCTCTCAGGCCTCAAGAAAAAACGCTTCCTCCTAACCCGCTCCTTTTTAACTAAGCAGATCAAAGGGATCCACTAACAGCAAAAACAGCAGAGCGTGCACTGCCCGTGACGTGGAGTGTGGCGTATTCCATCCATATGACCAGAAGTTCACTTTTAACTCGCAGCCCAGACTTCCTCATTCAGGTCATTCTGACGCCGGGGTGCCGATATGACGTCTACGACCTGGAGCCAACATTCTGAACTTCTCCTGCGTACGTCACGAGTCCTCAAGGCTGCAACGGTGCAGGACTTCTTATCCATCATCTTTGAACAAAGTTCTTCCCCGGCTCATAAATTACTTTATAAATGTATAAGTTTATAGAATCATACGCTGTTGAATGAACAAAGCGTTTAAATCATGAGTCCAATACTCTACATTAATGAATGACGGGTTAACATGAATATTTCTCCTGTAATGATTTGCTTCAGATCTTAAATGACACCAGATCAGTATTTGTAGGTTTTATAGCGTTCGTGTGTCTGTATGGACACAGTAATATTACTGTATTATCATTGATGGTTAAAACATTTTACTTCTCACTAAGAAATAACCTCTAAGCGTCTGAGGGAAGGAGGGATCTTCTGAGGGCTTTTGGAAACACCTTTAAACTTGTCGAATTCTGATTGGTCTAAATTTGCAAACAGTAGCTAATCAAGGCTAGCTCACTTCCTGGGCTTGTCCGTTCTTAGCCAGCCTCCCGGTTCGGCCGACCGGACGCACGGGAAAGGCCCAGCGATGGCAGTGTGAGAACAGGAAACGCAGCTGCGACCTTGGATGGGTTCCCGTGGAGGATGGCTGCTTATACTGGGCCAGGATCCTCCGGAGGTTTCTTCCTGTTAAAAGGGAGTTTTCCTCTCCACTGTCGCTGCATGCTTGCTTAGTATGAGGATTGCTGTAAAGACTCTGACACTAGTCAGCGACTCGATGCAACCTGCTGGGTTCCTCATCAGGCATGAAAACGGGTCAAGGGTGAAAAAGGTGTGACCCCCTGTCCTCCTGCTCAGCTACTTCACATGGAGGAAAGTGGCCGCTCTACGTGAAGCTCTTTGTGATTTTGTCTGTAACCAGTGCTACGAATAACATTTACTAACTATTCGTGCGTAGGACTGATTTTAGGCATTGTGGGTTATTTATACTTGTGTGTAGGAGTGTTCCTAAATATTAGGACAGCTCTAAGCTTTCATTCAAACAGACTTGAGCGGTGGAACGACGGAACCGCAGTGCTAAAGGTCTCGGTCGTTCACATGCTCCTCATCCACAAATTATTCTACACAATAAATAATGATGTCAGTGGAAAAACTGCTTTTATGCACAACTGGTGCTAAACCAGTAAGACACGTGACCCACAGGAATGTGACTTTGAATCATGGCTGATCTGTGTTGGAGGACTTGGCGGGGAAACGTGTCCTCCTTCGTGAGCGCACTGATCTCCCCGATGGGAGACCCTTCTGGAGCTCAGCTGTTATCTTTGTGGCGCGACAGACAAACCACTCAAATCCGATTCCGGTCCTTATTCCATTTTACAACCACGAGAACCCCCAGAACATCCTCTGCTCCCCGATCACACATGCCGCGCTGTCATGGTAACCAGACTGAATGACCGTTCAGAAGGCTGCACTCTCTGACAACATTTACAGCTGATCAGACGCACTCCTTTCCCTCCACCAGAGGGGGCGTCGGTCAGACCAGAGATGATCCCGGCCTGGAACAAGCAGTGGAAGAGTGTGGCGGTGTGCACGGGGGGGCTGCTAGAAGCTCGCTATCGGGCACCGGGTGGCGATCAGCAATCAGCCACCGGCTGACTTTAAAGGACGGCGCCGCAGGTGGAAGAGGGTTAGCTCCTGTGTGCATGGCAGCTAACCGGTACGTGTGCACGACAGGTGTAAATGAAGCAAGGCAGAAGCGACGTCTGTGTGCGGGTTCGGTAGCTGGTAAAACGCTACAAGGGTTAACTGAGGGCGTTTCTGTATGTAAATGACTGAACAGACACCTGAGAAGGCACAGGTGGGATTTATCATCAGACGACTGCAGAGGAGCGTGCGTAGGAGAGACCCCACCCCCCCACATGCTTCATGAATCAGGTTTCTGACTGTGCACACAATCTAAATTCACTCGTAGAAAGGAATATAGGAGCGTTTCTACACACGTTAGATACAAGAGGGCCCTGGAGCCCAGCTAGACCATCTTTCTTCCCATAGCCCCCAGGAGGTGCCAGGCCGGTAACGTGCACCTCTGCTTAGTGGTAGACAGAAACGGCTTCTTGCAGAGCTACAAATAAACTTTGTGCCATCTTGGAAAACAAAACAAAAAATCCAAATCTTCTGCTAGTAATGGTGAAAATTTCCTTAATTATTGATAAGGAAGTAATTTATTTTGGCACATTTACTAATTTTTGGGCCACTTGTTGGACCTGTGTGACAAAAACAGTTTTTAATTGACTTTTTGTTTACATTTTTTATTAAATTTTCCTGTTAATGATTCTATAAAATTGTGTTGTTTGCTATATTTGTTCAAAATGATTTACTTTTACAGTCTATATTGGTTTTCTAAACTCATCATGAATGTTTGTGGGTTTCACAGTAAAGAAATATTCACTTTTTTCCTACTCAGAGTTTATGTTTTCGTCTGATATGTGATCCCATTCTGTCTAGATATGAACAATAATTCAGACAGTCGAGGTTGTGCTGAAAACACTGATACAAAATAAAGCAAAAGTAATGGTTTATAGTTCAGATATACATGAATAAGATCTAAAACTACAATTCGCACCCTAGACCCCAGAAGGTTAACTGTTAAGATGCATTTATCGCCCAGTCCTGATACGTATATCTATTAAAAGAAACTATGCTTTTGCTCCTCTGAGACTTACTGTAGGTGAACTCCAGCATCTGGTTGATGACACGAGGCTCATACTCTGTCACGCCCATGTCCTTCAGGATCTGGATCATCACCTGCAAAAGAGCCAGATACATATTAAAGCATGAATTCAATCTGTAGCTGTTGGTTTACGAGAGGCTTTCGGTTTATAGAATCTGAAGTTATAGAAAATATCAAAGTTAGAGTGTTCTGGGCTTTGGCAGCATCCAAGTTTCAATACTGTTAAAGTGACAATATGTAGTTTTTACCTTTAATCTCTGCAAATATCCATGAAAATGAAGAAAACGATGTCCAGCTGTTATAAAAATATTGGTGGTTTCAAAAAACAATCAAATTTTATTTATATAGCACCTTCTAGTGCCTTTAGGACAACAACCCCTGACCAGCAGAGCAAAGTGACCGAGATGCAACAACGCAGCCAGATATAGACGAGCGAAACTATGTAAGGACCAGGAGACATGCAAGAACACTTTGGTCGGGTTTACAGACCCTGTTGGCAGCACCGAACCGAGTTTAAATTAAGTGGATGAGAAACCCATGGGGAGGGCTCTGCATAAATGAGAGTAAAGTTGAATTTTAAACGCGTTAAAACTGTCACAAAGTGGCGTTAAAAGCGGCGTTTTATGTCACAGAACGGCGAAATAAGCGGCGTTCAATGTCCGTACCAAACGCCGTATTTTACGCCACCCACACAGAGAACGCGTCTGGGATTAGGGTGACGTAAAAAACGGCGTTCAATGTCCGGAAAAAACGTCGTATTTTACGGGCGTTCTACGGGACCGTTCAGAACGGCGTCAATTACGGCGTTCTGGCAGAGTTTTCGCCGTATTTTACGACGTCTTGGCACATCAAACAGCGTTTTTTTCGCCATTTCTTAACTAGACGGGTTGGGAAAGTGGCGTATTGTGGCGGTTTTGGCTTGCCATACTCCTCAGTTCAGATCAGACGCGCCCCATTCGAGGCGCGCCTCGGCTCAGCTGTAGTTTTTCTTTTAATTACTTGGTGTCCTCCATTTCCTCAGCTCTTTTCCTCTACGTGTGTGTGTGTGTGTGTGTGTGTGTGTGAGTGTGAGTGTGAGTGAGAGAGTGAGAGAGAGAGAGAGAGAGAGAGAGAGAGAGAGAGAGAGAGAGAGAGAGAGAGAGAGAGAGAGAGAGAGAGAGAATGGTGTGAACCAGTTGTTTCTGCCAGTTAAATCTCTTGGATTTCCCTGCATGATGGCTGAAGATATCGCGTTAGCATTCATACTTGTTCAATTTTCAATTTTAATCCTGGTGCCTGTTAGCAGCTGAAACACATCCTCACGTGCTTGTGGCCATCATATATTCTATATGAAAACATGACTGTAATAATAAGTAAAGGTTAGCAGCTGTTCAGTGTGCTCATAGGAAACGTGACAAAATAACACAAAACACATTCCTCTTTATGGCCTATATAGTTGTCATCATCAACATAACATGATTTACAGAATACATGTGACCAACTAACATTTCATGTTCTACCACCGGATGTTTGGATCAAAATGTGAACCAATCAGAACTTAGATCAGGTGAGAGCCAGGCGTTTCCTGTCATCCTCTAGGTTTTGCAGCTGGTGGAGAGCAACTGCAGCACCTTGCTCCAAAATCTGCGGCCGCCTTGATCTCACGAGGTTATTGTTGTCTACGTATGCATGACGTCAGAGCAAGTCGGCGTCAAGTCGGACACAAATCTAACCGGCATGCACCGCTCGCCGATCACCGCTGGTCTAATCTGCGCAGAACTGGCTCATCTCGAACACAGCCAATGGCTCGAATACAGCAAAGCGGAGTGGGTGATGTACTGCGTTGTATGCCGGAAGTATGCAACGACAAAATCGTGTTTTGTTGAGGGAACAAACAAATTCAAACTTGAATACGTTATTATGTTTGTGAATGTGTACAAAATAAAGGTTTATTACATTTAAAATGGTTCAGTTGTTATTTTGACTCGTTTTGGCAGCTGACCAGCGGGGCCGGTAGATTCTTGGCAGGGCCGGTAAATATTCAGAGTTACCGGCCCGGCTGGCCGGTTGGTTTTGAAGTTAATGTCCACCCCTGTCTTGCGCATGCGCAGCTGTCTTGGCAAGTTCTCGTTATGAAGGACGGGTACCGAAACGAGGCACCGTTTGAAATGACGTGAATCGGTGCTCAGTCGGTACCATGGAATTCGGTCGGTACCTTAAAAAGTACCAAATTCGGTACCCATCCCTATATTGCACATTGAAGATTCAAGTGTGAACATGCAAGCATGCAGCATGAAAAAACAGGATCATTGTAAATTACAACCAACCCATCATTAAAAGTTGAATAGTCTTATGGGTCATTGGTTGATAGGATGCTCTCAATCATGGCTCTGTAGAAGTTCTTTAGCAGTTGGGGGGAGAGACCGGCTCCCTTCAGTTTCCTAAGGAAGAAGAGTCTTTATTGGGCCTTCTTTACCAGAAAGGAAGTGTTCAGTGACCAGGTTAGATCTGAGGTGATGTGGATGCCCAGGAATTTGATGTTGTCTACACGCTCTACTAGCTCCCCCCAAATGAGTAGTGGTGGGTGCTCTGTCCTGTTGGACCTCCTGCAGTCCACTATGACCTCCTTGGTCTTACTGATGTTGAGCACCAGGTTGTTCAAAGAACACCACTGAGTGAGGTGCTGTATCTCCTCTTTGTAGAGGGTCTCATCATTGCTTGTTATGAGACCCACTATGGTGGTGTCATCTGCAAACTTCAAAACCATGTTTGAGGGGTGGAGGGCTGTGCAGTCATGGGTAAATAATGTGATGAGAGCTGGACTGAGCACACAGCCCTGTGGTGTGCCTGTGTTTAGAATCATGGTGGATGATGTTTGGTCTCCTATTCTCACCACCTGAGGCCGATTAGTGAGAAAGTCCCTGGTCCAGAGGCACATTGAAGCAGAGTCCCAGGTTATAGAGTTTCACTATCAGCTTGTCTGGGATGATGGTGTTGAAAGCCAAGATGAAGTCAATGAATAGCATCCTAATATAAGTGTTATGATGCTGCAGATGTGTCAGAGTGGTGCGTAGTGCAATAGAGACAGCGTCCTCGGTTGACCGGTTCCCCTTGTAGGCAAACTGGTATCTGTCCATAGCAGTAGGAAGGCTGTCCTGGATGTATTTAAGGAGGATCTTTTCAAAGCACTCCATGATAATAGGGGTCAGTGCGACTGGGCGGTAATCATTCAGGCTGGTTACAGCTGATTTTTTTGGCAATGGCACAAAGATGGAGGGCTTAAGGCAGATAGGAATAGTAGAGAGCTGCAGGGATAGATTAAAAATGTCCGTGAAAACTAGGGCTGCAACTAACGATTATTTTCATAATCGATTAATCTGTCGATTATTTTTTCGATTAATCGATTAATCGGTTTGTTATTGTTTAGCTATTTAACCTATACAAGTGATGAATACATTTCAGTTAAGAAAAAGAAAAACATAAGAGAATTGTGCAGTTGACTGCAATCTATTTTATTGCACATGACCACAGTCAGCAGTGTAAAATGAGCTAAACAGTGCAAAATATCAGTCCAGAATAATTTTTTGGCATCAAAATATAAGAGGTAAATTCCATAAAAAATAATGTAGAATCTGGAATAGAGTTGGTAAGTGGTATGCATTGCTGGGGGTGAGTGTCTTGTTCCCCATGTAGTTGTCCATCGTTGCTTGTTTTTTTCTGCATAAGAAACACAAATAAACTGAATTAAGTACACATATAAAATAAAGCAGCACACACACTACAACACTAAATCAATATTACATTATTTGAATTAATTAACAATATACAGTGATCATTTATTTTGACAAAAATGTGTTGTGAGGCGTTTTACAGCGTTAGATAGTAAAACAGCCTTTTAATAGTTAAAAAAAGGACTTTCTGAATTTCTCCTGTATTTAAAAATTGAAAGCGTACAACTATGCCGCGTTATATTCACCTGGACACAGCTCGTCTGTATATTTTTCTCCGCGGAGTTGTCCTTTTTTGAATGAGGAACATAGTTATGGGTTTGTGCCGTTTTTCTCTTAACGAGAACATTCTTATAAACAGACGTGCTAAATTTGGCAAGCGCATGATACACAACACGGAGGAGATTCACGATGGCATCTAGTCAATCAGAAGTAGAACACCGTAAACTGACGCGGCAAAAAAAAAAACATATTTAACATCCACTATAACGAACTCAGCTAACACTAAGTCCCAAATGTGATCTGCGTTAGCTTGTTTATTTTCTGTTACTTACCGGACATTCCTCTGCTGCATCAGCCCCCACGTTTTCGTCTCAAATGTTCACTTAGGGACGTCGTGCTTCCGTCGTGCCATGGTTTTTGCATATTTTGTAGGTCACCGGTCTTTTCAAGGCATCTAGTGAAGTGCTCCCATACTCGTGAGGTTTCTGTCCGGGGTTTCTCTTGTTTTGTCGCTTCTATTTTTCTTCCGTATTTGTTGTTGATCCGCCATCTCTCACAGCAAGATGCGCGTCAGTAACGTGATACGTCATGAAAACCGAGGGCACTCATTGGCTAATTTCTTCTTCTACGGCCCCACTGGTAGATCAGTGGCTCATTACTGCCACACACTGGCGGCAAATTTAACAGATTGTAACCGATGTCAGATTGTGGTAAAAAATAGACTTTATGCTGTAAAATAACAACTAATCGATGACTAAAAAAGTTGTTAACTATTTTAATAATCGATTATAATCGATTAAATCGATTAGTTGTTTCAGCTCTAGTGAAAACCCCTGCCAGCTGGTCAGCACATGACCTCAGGGTCCTCCCTGACACCATGTCTGGTCCTGTGGCTTTGTTGATTTTAATCCTCTTCAGGGAAGAAGTGACCTGATCGAGCTGCAGGATCAGGGGCTGCTGCTGCTTCTCCAGTTTAATGGGAGCAGCAGCAACTCTGTCACTAATGGTGTCAAATCTGGAGAAGCAGCTGTTCAGGGTGTCAGGAAGAGAAGAATCCTCTCTGATCTGCTGGCTGGTGCTCCTGTAGTCTGCCATGGTTCTCAGTCCCCTCCACATGTTCTGCATATCGTTGTTCTTAAAGTACTCCTCAATGTTGCCTGTATCTGGATTTAGCCAGCCGTATTCCTTTTTTCAAGTCTCTCCGGGCATTGCTATATGCCAGCCTGTCACCAGCCCTGCATGCAGCATCCCGGGCTTTGAGTAGGAAGCGCAGAGTACCGTCCATCCGTGGCTTCTGATTAGAAAAAACTTTAGTACATTTTGTGGGTAGAACGGCATCAGTGCAAAATTTGACATAAGATAGAACAGCTGATGTGTAATCCTCAAGATCTGAGACCTCTTTAAATACGTCCCAGTGAGTGGACTCAAAACAGTCCTGAAGTGCTGAGGAGGCCTCCTCAGTCCAGACCTGAACAGACCTGGTTGCAGGTTTTGATCTGCAGATCAGTGGTCTGTATACTGGGATGAGATCAACAGTAATGTGGTCAGACAGACCTAAATGTGGAGCTGCAACAGCTTTGTATGCCCCTTTAACGTTGCAGTAGACCTGATCCAGGATATTGTTTCCTCTTGTTGGAAACAGGGTCCGAAATTAACACTCGCCACTCGCCAAATGCGAGCAAATTGCTCCATTTGGCGAGTAAATTTTTGAGCTCTACCTGCCACATAGCGAGTAAATGTTTGCACCAAATTAGTTATGTTTATCAGTCATCTTCCATGGATTTCTGATACTCCTCCCGCCTGCATGCACCGTACACAAACGTACGCGAAACGTGAACGCCGCATCCAACGTCATTTCCACCTATCCCATTCAATCAGTTTATCAAGTTAGCCGTTAGCTTCGTGTTAAAACTAGCGGTGAAATGTGGCGGTTTTTAACTGGAGTCAGCCAGCCTTCCAAAAGAAAACTCGTCGAACTGGAAGAAAAACCACCAGGACCAGTGGCAACCTGTAGATTTTGTGAAAAGTGGCGAACTGGACATGGCGGAGTCGTAAGACAACGGCTACATTATGAACCAGAATCTGCGCAAATGAGCTGCACCGTTTGCCGCCAGCACGCTCGAGAGAAGAACGGTAACAACCCGTTTGTCATAGGAAATAAGACAATGAAGCTTGAGACTATTCGAGAACATGAAAACAGCAAATGCCATATTGCCTGCACATCCATGTCGCGGGCTCAATCGGAGTCTCTACTGGTGACACCCATGGTCTCGGCGCTAATGGCTATGTCAGAGAAAACACGGAGTCTGACTAGATTTCAATTAAAGAGTTCATAAAAATATCTCTAAAATATAAATAAAGAGTAAAATGACAAAAGAGTTGTTTTTCTTATTAATTGATGTTTTAATTATTTTGTCACTCCTCTCTGTTTGGATTCAACATAATATAGAATTACATGCTTTAGGTAGATCTAAATCATTTAGAATTTTGGCCGGTAAAAAATATGCACGGCCGGTAGATTTTCATCATCTACCAGCCAACTTGGCCGGTGAGTCAAAAATTTTATTTCGAACCCTGTTTGGAAAGCTTATGATTAGGGTTGGGCATCGTTTGATTTTGAACAATTCTGATTCCAATTCCTTGTTTCGATTCCGGTTCCTATCGATTCCCGATTCCGATTCTTTCAAGACATGACATGTGTTACATGAGCCAGCTAACCACAGGTCCTACTTGATGAAATAATCTTAACTTCAACACGAATTTTAATTCTATGAACAACAACATCACCTTCATTTAGACAAAAACATGTTTTGGAGACAAAAAGAAAAAGACTTGCAGCACAACCAGTGTGTTTGTTTCTGACCACACCCAAAGTCTGGAAGCAGCCTCTGGGATGAGAGGCTAAATGTCTCCAACATATCCAGAAACGTGCAGCTGTCTTCAGCTAAAACTCTCAGGATGATCATGTCCAGGATGACTGAGAACTACACCTCCATGCTGCAGCAGCATTCAGTCAGAACAGAAACTTAAACGTAGCTGCTGTCAGTAACAATCTAACAGATTTTAAACATTAAAACTCTCAACAGAAATAGTTCAGCAAGGAAGGCTGGTGCCTATCTCCAGCGGTCAATGGGCAATCAGGCGGGGTACACCCTGGACAGAGAGCCAGTCCATCGCAGCATTTTGATGGATATTTCCAGAGAAATACTACACATTGTCTCTTTAACCCTTTGATGCATAGTGGTCACTACAGTGGAAAGGTACTCAAAACTGTTATTTATTTATTTTTACTATTAAGCACAGCTGTTGAAGACTTTATTGCATTTGAGCCCCTCCATTTCGACTTCAGTAAGTCAAGCCAACATATTTCATGTTCAGAATGCATGCTGCCCACTGAGGTGGACATGTAATAAACTATGTGTAAATTAAATGTTACAAAAAATATGTAAATATGAAATTTGTTTCATTCACACCTAAAGATGGATGAAAAAAATGTTTAAAAAATCATGGTTGAAGATTTCATAATTCATACATCAAAGGGTTAAAATAGTTTCTCAGTGTTCCACAACTTTAAATCCGGACATTTTCTCCAGTTCCTACAATTAATATATTTACCTAAAATGAAAATAAAATCTGCTAGTTGCTGATAATTCAGAGGAATATTTTAAACACGTAACAGTTGACAACAACGCTCCAACACAACTTTATAACCCAATTTAAATCAATTAAGGATTTCCTCTCAAAATGTCACAGAAAATACTGAATAGTTTTGTTTTCTCCTGGAAACGGTGAGGTAGTAATTACTTATAATGATCCCACTCGCGTCACAATGTTAAAGTCAGCGTGGTTACAGGGCAGTCTTGCTTAGCCTGGCTCTTCAGAGCCCTCTGTTTAATTCTCTGTGCAGAATTAAACTGAGGGGTCTGGCAGGCCAAGCTAAGACTTGCTTTGAACACAGCTAGGAATTCTATATGTATGTACAATGCGAATTAAATTTATACTAAACTCTAGAATTGCCCGTTTTCATCCAGTGAACGAGCAGCAGCAGGATGACCCGGTTCTCTGCCCGCTGACTCGTTCGGCACAACTCAAACGTTTTATCCCTGAACAGCGCAGAGCTCAAGGCTAGCAGCTAGGCTAACGTGTAGCCAGCATACAGGCTAGCTTAGCCGAAGTCAGCGCGGATAAAGAAGCGGAGGAAGTTCTCAAGATAAGAAGAATTCAGTCAAACTGAATAATTAAGCCATAGTAAAAAAAATGGAGTTTGAACGTTACTTGAGCATCTTTCGGGATTGTTTTCGGAGCGGACATTTTGATACTCCTCGTTGCTTCCGTTTTCTTCTTCTATGGATTTACATTAACCAAATAGAAAAATATGACCTACCCTGTGGCTGCCCCCCTCAGGCGCGCAGAGAAACTACAGCTCACGCCTCCCTGTCAGACAGCGTCCGTATGAGCTGTCTAGCTCGGATCACGTCCCATTTGGGTCCAAAATATGTCTGGAGTGTGTGTCCATGTCTGAGGAACATGACAGTAAAATACCAGGAAAAGTTCTAGACTGGACTACCCTGGCTGAGGAGGACATTTTAAACAACAACCTTTATTTATAGAGCAGACAAGAGGCATGCCACCAAAGTGCTGCACAGTAACAAACTGAAACTGAGAAAATAAACAAAAACAATTCAACACCAACAAGTAAAAGTAGAATAAAATCATGTAAAAGATCAACAACATCTAAACACAGAGTCTCCAGCTTCGTTTCAAAAAGTGCTGCTGACAGACGGAGTGTGCTATGGAGAACTCCCTGTTCCCTCTGGGATCGCCACTTTAGAGGGATCATCACTTTAGAGGGACCACCACTTTAGAGGGGCCATCACTTTAGAGGGACATCACTTTAGAGGGACCATCACTTTAGAGGGACCACCACTTTAGAGGGGCCATCACTTTAGAGGGACCACCACTTTAGAGGGACCGCCAGCAGCAACCAGTGTTGGTACCAGACCTGCTCGGGTCTGCCAAATTACGTCACAGTAGACGACTGGCTGAACGTGAGACCTACTGAAGTTATGATACCACGTACGTAAAAGTTACGTTAGCATGTTGACAATGATGATTTTGATTGGTCAGAACAAATTTATGGTTGTAGTCTTAGCGGTTGTAGTCCTGTAGTCCAAAAATCAACACTTTTCAGGGAATATGTTTGAATTTCCAAAGGAAAAGTAAAATAATTCAAAGATATCAACTGATAAACGGTGACCCTCAAAAGTTCTTGATTTTGATGAAATGGGGCAAAATAAAAATACAAAAACTTTATTGAAAAGACACCAAGCAACATTTTGAATGAATGCATGTGTTTACATAACAACTAGGAAAAAAACAGATGAATTCCACATTGATGCAAACAGATGTGGCTTCACATATAAGAACTGTTGTGTTTTGGTAGTCTGATGTTGGTTTTATGTAGTTTCACATTCTTTACAAAACAAAGATAAGATGATGTTTAATTACAGTTATACAGAAAACATTTAGGTGGTAACAAACAAGAATTTAGTAACAAAACTGCTGATGTCTTTCCTAAACGTACGTGTGAAAGTCGAGTGGATTGGCTGTAATGTGACATCATCAGCAGGCGCAGGACCCTGAGCTGGTCTGGTACCGACACCCGCTCTCGGAGCAGAGCATTTGAGCAGGGACATGCAGCTGCAACAACTCCGCTAAATATGGAGCCAGTTCATTCAGAGCCTTAAAAACCGTTAAAAGGATTTTAGGAATAATTCTAAAATCAACAGGCAACCAGTTAAGAGCATCCAGAACCGGAGTCACGGGATCGAACTTTCTTTTGCCAACCAGGAACCTCTCTGCAGCATTCTGAATGAGCTGCAGTACCTGAAACTAAACCATCAGCTGCTTACTGAGACACTCTCGGGTGGTTTCTGCCTGCCCAGGGTAGAGCAACCTGTAGAGAAACTGGCTGTAAAGATACAGAGCACACATCAGCAGCAGGTGACGATGAGGACATAGTGAATGCTCTACACAAGGTTAGTTCCCTTTCACAGACATAAAACTGAAGCAAAGACAAGACCAGGCTGGACAGAGTATGTGTCTGAGGACCATGCTGGAGCACGCCAGGCCTCCTTAGACTGGGCACTAGCAGGGAGACCTAGAGACGGGCCCGTGTTTGAGCGTAAAAGGGCTATAAATACAAACATGCAGCGTGTTTCATTAATACGAGTGACCGAGCTATGAGAGCGGAGTCTCTGGCTCTGAAACTCCTAACGAACACAAACGACTTCTGGAATGAAGTGAGCCTCTAAAACACTGTACCCTGTGTGGTTGATGGAGTCTCGGGAGCTGTGTAGCCAAAGCTTCATGCTACACTATTATGGCGAGCCAGCCAGGAGACGAACCTGGCATCTTCTGATTATCTTCTGAATATCCTAAAGTTGTAGAGACAACATTATTATGCCACACCACATTTATTTGTAGAGCGCATTTAAAAACAGCACTTCAGCTGACCAAAGAGCTGAAACCAAAAAAAGGGCGATGTAAAAGCAGACCCATGACAGTAAATCTAACATGCTAAAAGGAGCCCTCACAATCAAAGAGTATAAAACAGATTTCTTCAAATTTATAATGTTTGCAGATGATACAACTTTAGTTTGTTCAGGTAAAGATGTAAAAGAACTTTTAAAGAAGGCTGAAAAAGAGTTAAATATCCTCAAATCTTGGTTTGATGTAAATAAACTATCACTGAATATAAAAAAGACTAAATTTATGATTTTTGGAAATAAGAAGGTAAAAAATGGGGACTTTAAATGAACAATTTCAGATACTGAAATTGAAAGAGTGTCAGAAATAAAATTTCTTGTTGCTGTGATTGACTCTAACTTATCCTGGAAGCATCATTTAAATTATATAAAAGGAAAAATTGCCAAATCTTTGGGTCTATTGTATGAGCTGAAGGACATACTAAACCATAAGGCCTTACGTCTAATATACTGTTCACTAATACAACCATACATGGCATTTTGTATAGAAATATGGGGTTCAACTTTTAAAACACATATACATGAAATAAAAACTATACAAAATAAATCTATTCGAGTTATAAACAAGAGCAATTATTATGCTCATACTGACCCGTTGTTTTTAAAATCACAGATTATGAAATTAGAAGATCTATATTATTATAAAATAATGCAATTTATGTTTAGAGTAAAATTAATGGCTCTGCCAGAAAATACACTAATGTTTTTTGCAAAGAGGGAAAGTAAATATGATTTAAGAGGTGTAAGTATGTTTGTTCTACAAAAAGCCAAAAGAGGCATGAAAAGGAGATGTATCTCTGTAATGGGAGTAACATTTTGGAATGAGGCTAAAATAGAATTAAAATGAGCAACTTCTCTTTCAGTTCTTAAAAAACTTATCAGGAAAAATATTTTTGAAGAGTATTAATTTGATGTTGATGGATGGATTTGTGTTTTACTTTTATTTGGGTTGTTGGTTCATTGCGGGAAATTTAAAAATTGTTTTGTAAGTAGGTTAGGCAATTCTATAAGCTGTTGCTTCTGCCTAAACCTGTTCAGTCATGAGATACCAAATAGACACCATATACTAATGAATGTATATGTTGGTGAGAAATGGTATTTGTATCTATTTGTATGACATGTTATTGTACACTATCTTAAGATGACTGACTGAATAAATTGATCATTCATTCATTCATTCATTCATTCATTCATTCATTCATTGATTCATTCATTCATTCATTCAAAACAGACTGTTAAAAATAAAATATGAAATCTTCAGCACGGCAGAACTTAAAGGCAGAACGTAGAGATTTAGTTGCTAATAATAAAATATATAAAAACGACCAAAAATGGGCACAAAAACAAATAAACCGTAGAGTAAAATATCCAAACTGGGACAGTCCACTGCAGAAAAATCACCGGCCAAAAGCCAAACTGAAGAAATGAGACATGAGGCTAGATTTGAAATGTGCAAGCGAGCGAGCCAGACGCACGAGGAGAGGAAGTGCATACCAGAGCGTGGGAGCAGCTAAAGCAAAGGCCCGCTCTCCCGGGACTTCTATTTCATTTTGGGAATACACAAGAGATGATGATGTGCAGTGGTCGGGTGGGGAGAAAGTGGGTGAGCAGGTCAGACAGGTAGAGGAGAGCGTTGTTATTGACAGCTTTGCATGCAAAAATAAGAACTTTGAACTGTTCATGGTAAGCTGCAAGGAGCCAGTGTAGCCCAGCCAGGACAGGAGTGATGTGACACCGCCTATTCGTTCCAGGCAGGAATCTGGCTGCTGCATTCTGTACCCTCTGCAGATGATTAAGGGAGGTTGTGCTAACACCTGACATAGATCAGCATCAACTGTAGATAAATGGCACCTTCCAATTGCCAGATGGCAAACCAAAGTGCTGTAAAGACATCACTGACCCATACGGTGGTCTATGTGCCTTAGATGCATCCAAGGCATTAGATAACCACAGGAAACCATTCATAAAGCTGCTGCAAAGAGGTGTCCCGGTGTACATTATACACATCCTGGTTTATGCTCAGCAAATATTAGGTAAACTGGGGTAACAGTATCTCAGAGCCATTTAAAGTGACTTTAATTTTAAAAGTTGCCGTCGTCCATTAAGAAGCAGGACACTTACATACAGACGTACTTTTACACCACGGTGGAACAAGAGATCGGCTCTGGATGATGGAAAGTCTGTCTTTCTGATCACTGGATGGGTAAAGGTCCCCATGTCACCTTAAGGATAATCAGGGCAACTTCTGCTCTGTTCAGGAATTTATTTGTAAACAAAAAAGTGACATTTAGACAAATATGTAAGCAACTCCTCAACCAGGTAAACCTCCTGTACACAACGTAAACAGGGAGAATCTCCCTCTCAACCTGCCGCTACTTTACATCCCTGAACAAGAATGTATTAGCAACAAATGGCCAAACCAATTCCTTCATAATCACCTGAATAATAATCTGTACCCAGTACTTAATCATAACGACATTCCCTGAGTAGACGTTCAGAAGTGGAGGACCCAGAGTGTGTTTCCCACAAGTCCGAAGGTAACTTCGGCAACTTGGTGTTCATGTGAAGGTTTTGAATGGATACATCCATCCAATGAATGGTTGGGAGTACGCTTCGACAGACTAACAACTGCAAATTCAGTCAGTCCCATGCTGAGACAACAGACCAGCTTTTCCTATTCACACGCAAACGTTTTGGGAAGACCTCTGGAACCGACTATCTCATCAAATCCAGCTACAAGCTACCTTCACCTTGGACAACACAACCTTTGGGGCACCCTCAGCCGTAGTCTACTTCACCTGTCTGAAGCTTGGCCATGCAGCAGAACCATGGTCCAGAAGCAGGTCTA